TAACACGCATCGATTGGCGAGAGCGATACAATTCTACAGTAGAAATATTGCGCTAAAAACAAGTTTTCAAGCGCGCTTAACGGGTCACGCACACACACGTGGCGAAATTTAATAAAACCGAGGCTCGTATCAAATCCGAATATGTCCATTCGACTCGTCATTACCCCAAATAACGTGTTTATTAAATTGTAATTAATGCGCGCGCATTGCCGATAAATGCGTAATTTATTTTTCGAGATCCCACGCGGGTAAAGCAAAATAATACATCTCGTTTTCGACGAGATCTCCCTCGTTTCGTCCATCAATCTCGGAAATCTCGATTAAACGCGCAAAGGCGTCCGCGCGATACCTACGCATTCACACAACCCCTCCGCGAGCTGACGATCGACCCTTACACCATTATTGGATAGGACACTATAAATAAGTTTACGTGATACACCGAAGTTTGTCGCGAGCTGCGAACGGGAGGATTCTCACGATATCGTTTATTTGAGAAGCCGCTTGTTAGAAATGGCTCGTTTAATACCCCCCCCCGTTTTCTCGGGATTACGTAGGATAATCCGTTTAATGCTCGTTTACGGCGTTCTCTTACGAACGCACAAAGGAACTACTCCTTCGTAAAAAATTCAATGCTTGAGCGCGAGTAAGAAATGGCGCGGGTTGTGTGTTTTTCAATGCGCCACTCTTCTTCGCCGTTGCGCACTCTTTCTCTCTCTATCTCTCTCTCGTTTGTCTTGCGCTCTTAGTCTGCCATCACAGTACTAAAGAAAAAAAACAACAATTCAGAGAAGCTTTACCCACGAGATAATAGCGAGGAATGATACCCAGCTCGTTAGATTAATTGCGTTCTGAATTCGCAATCCGTCCTTTCCGTCGCCGCCGCCGCCGCCGCCGCCGCGTTGCGCGCTTTGGCCATTGTGATTGCAGAATCCAATTTCGAGATTTTGCAGACCCCGTGTTATATCTCTCTTCAATAAACCCCACGTTTTTTTGCGTACACTGTATTAATTCTGCTCGATATAATGGAACGGTATGGATTTTATTTTTGTTATTTTTATTTTTTTTTAATACTTTCGCGTCGCGCGCTGAATCCCTGTAAAAACCCATTGGTGAAATATCGGTTCTTCTCGACGAAGACAAGCGGACGTGCGCGCGCGCGCGCGCGCGCAGTGACATTCATTATACCGGGATTTATCTTGGCAAAGATCTCTCTTTTCATTTGGAAAGATTAAAACGGAAGTCGATAGAAAGATGTCGCGCGCTCAACTAACATCTCTGCACTCCCCATCCGGGGACTAATAACGCCTGACCCTTCGCCTACAGATATCTTCTATCTCTCCCTCTCGTATTTTTGTCTGTTTCAGAGCGCGTTTTTCCGCGCGGCGCATTAACCATTCGGCAACATCCGTCCCACGCGGTCATTTATTCATCGCGTCGGGGGAAACAGTTTGCTCTATATATCGGACGCGCGGTTTGCGATGAACGTCGAAATATTCGTCTGTGTATATACTTGCAAAGCAATCTCTCGTGTTCTCCGCACTGCAGGACTAATTGCTCTTGACCCTTTTAGCTCCCCAAGTTGCGCCCCGAATAGCCGTTTCCGCGCTATCTCGCTCAACGTGCACATGTGCGCGCGATCTCTCTCTCTCTCTCTGTGATCCGAAGGTTCTTCTTTTCAAAAGAACCGAAACAAAACGGTACGGTTTTAAAGACTTATTGTGTCAACGGGAAAAGGAAACAAACATTACGTCGATTTACATTTGCGCGAAAATGGTTGGGACAATATTTGCACAAACATGACAAAAATTGAATCACGCGCAGCTCTTTATTCAATTTTCAACAAACTGCACACTTATTGATTTTTGCGATATTATTTTAAATAGGACATGCAAAATCGTGTCGATCGTGTGTTTTCGAGAACTGCGATTTACGTATATTTTTTTTTCAAATTAGTCACATTTGGTTGTTTTTGAAATGTCACACAAAAAAAAAAAAGAACCTTTGCGACAAAGCGAGTGACGTATTATTGCGACGAACACGTCGTTCGGCGGTGTGTGCCGAACTTTCGGACGTGTTGAAAAAGTCTTTCGGAGCACACCTGTCAATTAGCATACGGCGTTTGGAAATGTTCGTTTCTTACACAAAAGACGGGTCGGCGCGAATTAAACGCCCGCTCTCGCGTCTATTGTCTTACTTCAACACTTTCGCAAAAGTTTAATCAATAATGGAACCCCAGGACTAATTTTCCTCCGTCGAATCCTCCAATCTCAGTAATGTTTACCCAGAAAAGCGACATCGCACAGTCAGACACATCCATTTTATTAATTTCACAATTAACGAAGAGAAGATTTTCAATTGTATTTATATATTGTACAATATTAAATATTAATTAATGGAACTCGCAACAGAAGCTATCTTTGTTTACAGAGCGCGCCGCTAAAGAGTGTTTGCTTTAACTTTCTCGATGTTCAATACAAATATATAAGAGCTCAACGTAATTTCTCGAAATAATTTCTCGTCTGTTCTCGATCGTCGGCGGAAAAAAAAAAAAAAAA